CCTACTGGTAACAAAAGTTGAAGGTGTAGGAACTGTCGTAGTTGAATGTGCAAAACAAAACATGGTAAAACACTGTCTTTTTACATATAATTACATTTACTCGAGCTGGATTTGTTATTTCTTTGCTAAAACTATTTATTTTTCAGACACTTACTCGTTGTATTTGTTGTAGGTGTTGTGTCGACGACTGTTGTTGAATCTGAAGGATGATTCATAAGATTAAATATTAAGAATATTGTAGAAGTATTTCAGTAAATGTCAACCCAGGAAGCAGTTATCCTATTGGTTATTTCTAAATACCTACTGGTAACAAAAGTTGAAGGTGTAGGAACTGTCGTAGTTGAATGGGCAGAACAAAACATGGTAAAACACTGTCTTTTTACATATAATTACATTTACTCAAGCTGGATTTGTTATTTCTTTGCTAAAAGTATTATTTTTCACTTACTTGTTGTATTTGTTGTAGGTGTTGTGTCGACGGCTGTTGTTGAATCTGAAAGATAATTTATACGATTAAATATATAACTGCAACCTCAAAAGTAAACAAAATATTACATCAAGTATTTCAGTGAATCTCAACCAGGAAGCTGTTATTTCTAAATACCTACTGGTAACAAAAGTTGAAGGTGTAGGAACTGTCGTAGTTGAATGTGCAAAACAAAACATGGTAAAACACTGTCTTTTTACATATAATTACATTTACTCAAGCTGGATTTGTTATTTCTTTGCTAAAACTATTATTTTTCAGACACTTACTCGTTGTATTTGTTGTAGGTGTTGTGTTGACGACTGTTGTTGAATCTGAAGGATAATTCATAAGATTAAATATTAAGAATATTGTAGAAGTATTTCAGTAAATGTCAACCAGGAAGCAGTTCTCCTATTGGTTATTTCTAAATACCTACTGGTAACAAAAGTTGAAGGTGTAGGAACTGTCGTAGTTGAATGTGCAAAACAAAACATGGTAAAACACTGTCTTTTTACATATAATTACATTTACTCAAGCTGGATTTGTTATTTCTTTGCTAAAACTATTATTTTTCAGACACTTACTCGTTGTATTTGTTGTAGGTGTTGTGTTGACGACTGTTGTTGAATCTGAAGGATGATTCATAAGATTAAATATTAAGAATATTGTAGAAGTATTTCAGTAAATGTCAACCAGGAAGCAGTTATCCTATTGGTTATTTCTAAATACCTACTGCTAACAAAAGTTGAAGGTGTAGGAACTGTCGTAGTTGAATGTGCAAAACAAAACATGGTAAAACACTGTCTTTTTACATATAATTACATTTACTCAAGCTGGATTTGTTATTTCTTTGCTAAAACTATTATATTTCCAGACACTTACTTGTTGTATTTGTTGTAGGTGTTGTGTCGACGGCTGTTGTTGAATCTGAAAGATAATTTATACGATTAAATATATAACTGCAACCTCAAAAGTAAACAAAATATTACATCAAGTATTTCAGTGAATCTCAACCAGGAAGCTGTTATTTCTAAATACCTACTGGTAACAAAAGTTGAAGGTGTAGGAACTGTCGTAGTTGAATGGGCAGAACAAAACATGGTAAAACACTGTCTTTTTACATATAATTACCTTTACTCGAGCTGGATTTGTTATTTCTTTGCTAAAACTATTATTTTTCAGACACTTTCTCGTTGTATTTGTTGTAGGTGTTGTGTTGTAGGTGTTGTGTTGACGACTGTTGTTGAATCTGAGGATGATTCATAAGATTAAACTATTAAGAATATTGTAGAAGTATTTCAGTAAATGTCAACCAGGAAGCAGTTATCCTATTGGTTATTTCTAAATACCTACTGCTAACAAAAGTTGAAGGTGTAGGAACTGTCGTAGTTGAATGTGCAAAACAAAACATGGTAAAACACTGTCTTTTTACATATAATTACATTTACTCAAGCTGGATTTGTTATTTCTTTGCTAAAACTATTATTTTTCAGACACTTACTTGTTGTATTTGTTGTAGGTGTTGTGTCGACGGCTGTTGTTGAATCTGAAAGATAATTTATACGATTAAATATATAACTGCAACCTCAAAAGTAAACAAAATATTACATCAAGTATTTCAGTGAATCTCAACCAGGAAGCTGTTATTTCTAAATACCTACTGGTAACAAAAGTTGAAGGTGTAGGAACTGTCGTAGTTGAATGGGCAGAACAAAACATGGTAAAACACTGTCTTTTTACATATAATTACATTTACTCGAGCTGGATTTGTTATTTCTTTGCTAAAACTATTATTTTTCAGACACTTACTCGTTGTATTTGTTGTAGGTGTTGTGTTGACGACTGTTGTTGAATCTGAAGGATGATTCATAAGATTAAATATTAAGAATATTGTAGAAGTATTTCAGTAAATGTCAACCAGGAAGCAGTTATCCTATTGGTTATTTCTAAATACCTACTGCTAACAAAAGTTGAAGGTGTAGGAACTGTCGTAGTTGAATTTGCAAAACAAAACATGGTAAAACACTGTCTTTATACATATAATTACATATACTCGAGCTGGATTTGTGATTTCTTTGCTAAAACTATTATCTTTTAGACACTTACTCGTTGTATTTGTTGTAGGTGTAGTGTTGACGACTGTTGTTGAATCTGAAGGGAAGATTCATAAGATTAAATATTAAGAATATTGTAGAAGTATTGCAGTAAATGTCATCTAGGAAGCAGTTGTCCTATTCGTTATTACTAATACCTACTGGTAACAAAAGTTGAAGGTGTAGGAACTGTCGTAGTAGGATGGGCAGAACAAAACATGGTAAAACACTGTCTTTTTACATATATTTACATTTACTCGAGCTGGATTTGTTATTTCTTTGCTAAAACTATTATTTTTCAGACACTTACTCGTTGTATGTGGTCGTAGGTGTTGTGTTGACGACTGTTGTTGAATCTGAAGGATGATTCATAAGATTAAATATTAAGAATATTGTAGAAGTATTTCAGTAAATGTCACCCAGGATGCAGTTCTCCTATCGGTTATTTCTAAATACCTACTGGTAACAAAAGTTGAAGGTGTAGGAACTGTCGTAGTTGAATGGGCAGAACAAAACATGGTAAAACACTGTCTTTTTACATATAATTACATTTACTCAAGCTGGATTTGTTATTTCTTTGCTAAAAGTATTATTTTTCAGACACTTACTTGTTGTATTTGTTGTAGGTGTTGTGTCGACGACTGTTGTTGAATCTGAAAGATAATTTATACGATTAAATATATAACAGCAACCTCAAAAGTAAACAAAATATTACATCAAGTATTTCAGTGAATCTCAACCAGGAAGCTGTTATTTCTAAATACCTACTGGTAACAAAAGTTGAAGGTGTAGGAACTGTCGTAGTTGAATGGGCAGAACAAAACATGGTAAAACACTGTCTTTTTACATATAATTACATTTACTCGAGCTGGATTTGTTATTTCT